GTGTCTGCTGCTTTTGCATTTCCTCTTTATTATCGCGAGGCAAAAAAAAAAAACTAAAACAAAAACCTATTCGTTCCGAAAGTAAACAGCAACGTTACGGAGCACAGTGCATGACGTAACCAGACGTTCGGTTCAGATCGGTTCGTTGGGATTTCTGTCTGTGTTGATTACATGCGCGTTAATCAGAAACTCTGATGAGCGGGAGAACATACTGAGTCAGCTTTAGCTGCAGCACAAATTCCAGCTGCTGGAAGGGGAACAACGTTCCGTAAACTTTTCTGCCAATGTTAACAACCGATGTCAACATGAGCAACAAGTTGTAAGTGCATATATAGAAATGTTTTTTTTTTTTTATTTATTTTTATTTGTTTTTTTTTTTTTTAACTCACTCCTTCTAGATATTTATATAGGTGTTGAGGCTTAACTTGCAACCAAAAGTCATCATTATTTAAACGCAAAGCTCTAATAAATCTACACTATTGATTGATGAACTCAAAACTTTGAATCTTTCTCTCTCTCTCTCTCTCTCTCTCTCTTTCAATGTCTTTCTGATAAGATTTCTTTAGTTGGGAATTTTAGCAATTGTTCTCATTGGCTCTCTTCATTAGTAAGGCGAAAACTATGCAAATATTTGAACCGAGTGTTATTTGGTATCGCATTCCACTCTATAAATATTATGTAGCATATATTCTTTTATCGTTGAACCTAATCAAATTAACACTTTTTCGTTCACCGCTCAGCGTTCACCGTTCACCGTTCACCGTTTTGCGTTTGTGCTTTTGTTTCCTTTTGTTTTCTATGTATGAATGTATGTGTGCACATATATATTTATATATTATTTCTACAATCAGCTCACGAACATCGAACGTATATTTGTTGGCTGCGTGTGTTCCGATTTCGATCTCGATCATGTGCCCCCACACAAATTTGTCATGCTTATCAGTTAAGTACCATGGGATGGAGCTGCGTTAGCGGCACTAACAGAATGATTGTAAATGTAAATATAAAGTAAGGCAACACCTAAATGAGTGCAATTTGCAATGGGACACACTAAAACGCCCCGCCCTCCTCTCTAAGTCAGCTAGCCGATTACATCACATGACCAGCAAATCTTGCAGTGTTTCCCCTTATCAAAGACAATTTCATTACCATATAAACTTTCCATGACGCCATTCATTGTTATCTGCTGAGGCTCGAGCATAAAACTTAAAAAATCCCGGCAATTTTAAACAACTTTGAAATCGCAACAGCAAAAGTAAGAGAACAGAGCGAAAGTGCAGGTGGGCCCTCTCCAAAAATTGAAACCACTTGAGATTGGATTGGCACGAGCATTGAAAGATTAGGCAACGACCACCATAAATCAAACAATTTAATTTATGTACATAGACAAATGTGCAAATGTACAAAGTAGTACATAATATACAAATATTTCCCCAACCTCAATTTGTTTGGGAAATTTTTTTTCCCTTTTCCATACTGTGCATTCGAACGGGAATTCGAATTCGAATTCAAATTGGGTACAAATGAATGTGACATTCTTATTATGTAATCGTGTGATCAGCTGTTAAGAGCAGAAGGCTCAACCTTTGCTTGCCTCCCACATACACACACTCAAAAGCACTTGCCAAAAGGGCAGAAAAGCTACGCTAAACGACAAATTTTTACGTAAGCGCTGGTCGCGTATCGTGACGTATTAGCGTCTGGGCGATAAAAAATTTCGCGTGTTTGTTATTAAGTTGGCCGGACGTCAAATGTTGCTGTTGCTATTGCTGCTGCTGCTGCGGCTACTCAGAGGCCTTGCGTGTCATGTTGTAGTCGTTGCTTCTATGATTTGCTGCTGGCATTGTTTGTGAACAGCAGAATCTGTATATTTAGTTCGCATTTTGCAAACCTAAAGTATTTTACTTCAAATTTTTAACCGGAAGAGAGTGCAAATACCCAGCCCTATAATCGTCTACCTATTTACATACATTTGTATTTATAGTAACTATAACAACAACAACAATGTGAAGGACGTTTGCATTTGCTTCGCATTTTTTGGCGCCATCCCAATTTTACACATACATAGACAATATGAAAAAGCAAAGATTTCAGAGCCAAAGAACTGGGCGCATACATAACATTTAGAAATCGCAAAATAGATTATTTAACTTTTTACGTATTACGCATCGAATTTTGTTTGCGTCACATACAATCGCTCACTATCTCACTGCCACCCGCTCTCTTGCTCGCTCTCTCTCTCTCCCTCGGTTCCGCTCTCTCTCTTCACGCACTCTGCCCATCATCGAAAACACCCCAAAATAAGCAACAACAATAAGCTCTAAAGGAGGCTCGTCCTTTGAGCCTACAGCACGTGTATGTGTGCTTGTGGGCGTGCCAGGAGCTGTGTATTGATTTTTCAATTACAAAAAAACTTTTGCCAAGAATTGTGTGCCGATTTTTCGACATTACATAACTCTCACATAGTCAGTACGTATGTGTGTGCGTATATATGTTGATTGTTGTGCACATACGTGGCGATTAATTTTGTTATTTTACTCTTGTTTTTGTGCAAATTGCGGAGATGGGCGGATGGTTGCGCTCTTTGCTTAAAGGTCATTCGGCGGACAATCTTTTTGGCGCAACAACAATAACAGAAAATGCAGACAAGCACATTTGGCAACAGAAACGAACGCATCACCTATGCAGAGACCAGGCAACAGCAGCAACAACAACAACACGTGACGTGCTTTGGAAATTAAGAGAGCCATAGCAACAGCGCGAGAGAAATAGCAAATGAGCTACCTGTGCACAGTGCTGCGTCAACGGCTAGTTTCTAGCTATTTAATGGCCAAAATATTCTCGATTGTCGAAACTCTTGACTGACTTCCAAATGTTTATACATATTTTGTATTTTTTACAAATACTAGTTTAGTGTTAACAAAACTTCATAATAAATAATGCAATTAAAGCTCATGTTACACGTTAAGTTTAAATCATTATGCAAAAATGTATATTTAATGTTTCCCAAAAATGAATGCTTCTAGCTGTTTTTAGCAACTTGTTTTGTTGATTTAGCTTTTAAAAATCTGGCAGCACTGTTTGGCTGGCTGCTAGTGAGAGCCGCTCTTTGAGAGAGCGTCGTTGTTGTTGTTGTTGTCGTTTTTGTTGCTGTAAAATTACAAGACACTAAGGCCAGAGACGCCGCGTGGTTTTAAGCCAAATTCAAACCGAAAGAGACACGTTTATGGAAATTACACAACAAAAAATCAGACTTAATAAATGAATGATACAACGGGCAGATGCCCCTGGTAACGGCAGCAGATGAAGAAGTTCATTAAACCCAAACTGCGTTGCTCGCTGCGACTGTGTCAACGACTGCGACTGCGTCTGCGTTTGGTGAGAGTTTTATTTATAAAGATTCGCGCTTCGCTATTTTAGCCAAGTGAAAATTCTGCTCGGTTATGTAATCACTACTGCCGGAAAATTAGCACATAGCAAAAATACTTCGCATGTCTGAATTTACAACAGCTAATATATTTTACTGGGTCGTAAGATTAAAAGCTATACAAAGCTGGCAAAAACGAGTAGCAATCATATTTTGCGCCGAATAGTTGTTTTAATAATCACAAGCACATGGCTGAATTTTTGGCGTGTCGCTTCTTTTGCCAACAACAACGCGTGGACACATACACACACATGCAGGCCCGAACAAGCGCGTACTTTTAGAGCGTGTTGTGTGTATGGATGTGTGCGTGCGGCGTTGCTGGCAAGCCACGCTTAAGTGTGAGGATCCTTTGGCAACCACCACAACAGCTAAGCGTGCGAATCGTTTGGCATTTCACAGTTAGTTATTACATAGTCAATGCAATGGTTGGGGTAAGATTGGGTCGTTGGTGTCAGAGAAACTCACCTGTGCGTCGACAAGTTTACGTGCAGAAATGCGAACGATCGACATGATTTATGCTAAATTGGCTGGTAGATTTGAGAAGAAGTTTACTCAAACGCTGTGTTAAATTTTAAACACTAACACGCACACACACAGAAAAAAATTGCTTTCCCCCAGTGAAGAATTTGGAAATGTTCTTTTTCTTGTGGCGTTTTTACGGCGAGCGAAAAATGTTTCCTACTCTCCCTTCCTATACGGCAGCTGCGCGGCAACTGAATGTTAAAATATTATTCGAATTCGAATGGTTGGTTGGCTTTCAGTTGCATACAGTCGATTTCAATCGTTGTTGTTGTGACCAATATCGATAACTTTTTATTGCACTTGCAGATCGTCATTAAATAGAAGCTTGTTGAATTTATAAGACTATAAGGGAGTCGAACTGTTGAGTTAAGCTTCCAAACTCTCAACTTAACGGGACATTACGTCTAAAACTAAATTATTTGTGTACTTCGCCGAGCATGCATGATATTTGTATTATCGATAAATGTAAAATACCAATGAAATGCTGTACCACCTACACAAATAACAGCTGATATGAGCACACAATTTGGAGCCCGCGAAATTTTTGATTTTTTTTGTTGGTTGTTGGTAACAACTGTTCTTTAGCTTTGCGTATTTTGATTTGCCTACCTTAATTTCTTCTGGGAGAACGTCAACCGGGTTCTTTTTAAATCCTTGCTTAACGCTTTGCGGTGGTTTGGGGGAAAACGACTTCTTAATAAGGCGATGTTGGTGCAGAAATAGCGAGCACCGATCGATAGTAAGCAGGTTATGCAAAAATGCCATGCTTGCAACAAAATTATTTATATTTTAAGCACACAAATTTGAAAAAAAAATTTGTTTAATATTTTGTAATGGCTCAACTTGAAGTGAAGCTGTCAGCTGTCAGAGCTGCCAGAATTTTTAATTATAGTTTCAGTATTTAAGGTTTTGACAAAAATGACTTAAATTATGAAATTGGTAGTCATTAATACCAAATATAAGTTACCCATCTACTTGAAATTTAAAGGAAAATTCGAGAATTACTTCAATCAAAATATTCTATTGTGTGTTTGGTAATTTTTTGTTTTGGTATTTTGATAGTAATCAGCTGTGGTCACATTACGCTGCATGTTATGCAAAAGGCGTCGTGAAATTTTGACTGGCAGATTTTCCATTTAATTAACAAATAATCAAAGCGTAAGTCGAAATATATATGCTTACATAGGGGGGAAATATCACAACGCAGCCATGTACATTTCAGCAGCCAACATGGCGACGGCCGTGCCGCATGTGCCCCCAAAGCAGGACCTTCCACCGCCCGGTGGATACAAGAAGATTCCTTTCGCTCGCGTGCCACCCAAGAGCTATTTCACAGGTGAATTTGATCCCACATTTATGCATACGGTTACAAATCTTTACATATATATACTGTTGTAGGCTTTACCATGATTGGAGCCTATGTGGCCGTCACTACGGTAGGTCTAGGCATCTATTATTTGACAGCTAAAAAGGTCAAGCGCGACGAAATTGAAATGCGCTCGGCCCAGAATGTCATTTTTCCTGTGCTGATTGCGGAGCGTGATCGTGAATTTCTGCGTCAGCTGCGCCGCAATCGCGACGAGGAGGCTGAACTCATGAAGAACGTTCCCGGCTGGGAGGTAAATTATAAATGCACTAACAAATGACTGCGACTAAAATTCTTTCTTGTTTTTTTTGCTGCCTTCGGCAGGTGGGCACCTGGTATGGTGAGCCCGTGTTCAAGACACTGCCAGAGGACACACTAGTCACACCCATATTCAAGGAGTTCTATGCCCATGCCGATTGGAAATCTTATGCTAAGCGCGCCCATCTGAAGCTCTGGTCGTAAACGAATGTGGAGGCTGGGAGTAGCAGCTGCTGCTGCTTCTCCCTTACCTTCAGTTTAAATTAGTTAATGCACATTATAAAACAGTTTTGTTTGTAGCTGCGCCTAAGCGCACTTTTAAAATGGATAATACACCGAATGCACTCTGCATTGGTTAACGTAAAACAATTTAGAAAATCAAGTTTTTTCTATTTTAATTGAAAGCGCATCGCAATGCTTCGATGATTCATCTTCCATTCGATCTGTCTATTGTTCAGAAAAACTCTGCTTCTCATCCCGAGCTAAGCACATATATATTTGACTAAACTCGGCTGTTCTTTATTCTGTTGGGAGTATATATATAAATATACATATATTTATTTCAGTTACATTTACACAATATTTTATATGCCCGTTAGAGGTTAGAGATTTATCTTAGAGTTTACATTTGCGAGTTTTAGCTTTTTCGATTAAGAATTGATATATATAATATACATATGCATATATATATATATATATATATATTACTTTCGTTGGGCTTTATATGATGTTTGTATTCTTAAAATATCCTTGAAGCGGAGCAGATCTGTGTAATTTTGCACTGACAAAAGAGTTCGACGTTGATAAATATGTATTTTATAAATGGGAAAGTTAAAAGAACAGACATGACTATATAATTATATAGTATTACGATTCCGATAGTTGTGTGCATTGAATTGGAAAATCTGAACATTGATTAAGAATAGGAATCAAAATGGCATGGAACCATGCGAGCGGACGGACAGTTCTCTATTGACTCGAATATGGTACATTCAGTTAGTTTTGATATAAAAAATATATTGTTATAACCTCTGCAAGGATGTAGAAAGATTGCTTGTTGCTTTATGTTTCATGTTGTTTCTTTCTCTTTTGTTTTTGTTATTTATTGAACTAAATTTCAATGAATTTAGGTGTTGCATATTCTCTAGAGGGGTTCGCACGCAATGGGCTATAATCAGTGAAGATGTGATCCAGATGGAGAGTACAGATCGCCGGACACGATGGAACGCGAAGTATCCACAGGTCTATGTATATGTATGCCTCGACATTTCTCCCATAACAAATTCTTATAATTATTACATAGTTAAAAAAAAAATATATATTCATATATATATATAAAGTTAGATTAACTGCTCGTCGACATAGCTTATATATATATATATATGTATTGTGGGCCCCAGCTATGCAAGAATGAAAAGAGCGTAAAGGTGTGTGTGTGTGTGTGTATAATTATATTGCCAGCTGGAAACGCATTGGACTGCCTAAAAGCTAGTATTTAACTATAGCTCCTCCCTCTGTCTCTGTCTGTGTGTTAAAGAAAGAAATCGTGTGTGTGTGTGTGTATGTAATCAAAGTTTTCAATTTCATTGGCCAGCCTCTAGGACTGATCCTCGACGTCTTCCTCCAGCTCCTCAAGCTCCTCTTGTTTTATAACAACGTAACGCATTGGTGGCGATATTAGCACTTGTTCCTCATCCTGCTCTTGCTCCTCTTCCAGCTGCTGCTGCTCTTCTAAATCACATTCGAGTGCTTTGTCAGATCTTTTGCGCCTGCGCCGCCAACTGCCATCACGTTGCTGCCACCTCTACTTCATGTCGCGGCGTCGCTTGATGCTGCCATCGCAGGTGGGCAGATGGCGTTGGAGGAAACCTTCAAAGACGAATTTGCGACCGCAACGTTCGCAGCTGAATTCGCGCTTCTCCTCCACCTGCTGTTTGTGCTTGCGCAGTGCTTCGGCATTTGAGTATTTGTCGCGGCAGGCGTCGCAGGCATAGCGCCGTTTCACCTGTCCCACATCGAAAACGACAGTGAAGTTTTGTGAGCAGAAAGAGCAGGTGAACTCCTTGACGACAACCTTCTTGCCACCATGCTGAGCGGCCAGTGCCTCTGCCTCGGCCTCTAGTTTGTCCTGATGCTTGTGCGAGTCCATGTGCGTATTATATTTGGCCTCGTCGACGAACTTGCGGTAGCAGCGAGTGCAGCGAAATGGCTGTTCGCCTGTGTGCCGCATCATATGCTCCTTGAGATAGGCTACCGAATTGAAAATTTTGCTGCACACCTTGCACTTGCGATCCTCGGCAGAGACCTCGTTGCGCTGGCGCAAGCAGGCGCGCATGTGAAGCTTTAAAGAGCCGGCTGCGCTATAGCAATTGCCACAATTGGGACAGTAGAAAGTTTTATTGCGTGACTGTGAATCCGATTCGGGACTGTGATCAATGCCTTCGAAGACGATTGAGCCCATTTCATCTTCCTCGTCGTCTGGCTCCTCGCCTTCCTCATGCTCCACACCCACAATTTCATCCTCATCGTGTTCAATGGCCTCCCCATCTTCATCCTCATCCTCATCGTCGGCATCGTCCTCCATATTAGGCACAATGTGCAATATGGTATGTGTGCCATCGCCCTGCTCAATTGTCTCCACCTCCTCTACAGTGCTGTTCTCCACCAGCTGCTGCAGCGTGACTGCGTGCCCGTTCTCATCGATGATCACCTCCTGGGCATTAGCCAGTGCCTCGTGATCTCGGTCGCTGAGCGTCACCACAGCCGTTTCCGTGTCGTCATCCTCGTTGGTCGTATAGGCATATGTATACTGTGTCGACTCCCCACTACCATCTACATCCTCTGTTTCATGTTGTATGATAACTGGCACAATTTCCTCCTTGGACGGGGCATCTGTCGGGCTGGACAGCGTTGTGTATTTAATACGCTTCGAATTCATATCGCTGTGTGTATATGAATATATGTATATATATATATATATTTGTAAATATATATATATATGTATATATTAATTAAATGTTTGTGTGTGTGCGTCCGTGCGGTATATAATGTTAATTGTTGCTGCGACTTCGTGCAACACAAAAATTTGTTGTTTTTTAATGCGGCGCGGCGTGGCGTACCTCTCCTCCAGCAAAATTTTTTCTTTTTTATTTGTGTGCGTGTGTCAGTTGTAGTAAGATACGTTTTGCATTAGATCTTTTCGCTTGACTTGTCGCCTCTGGCACTGTAAAATATTTGTAAACAATGCGCTAGTTGGTAAATTACTTTTGGCGCGTTCAAATTATACTTTTTTCTTACAATAGTCAACACTCTTTCGCGACTTTCTTGCCACCAAGTTTAATTCTTCCACTTCAATATCACAATTTTCGTCGATTGTGGCAACATCGTCTAATAATGGTCACACTGGTCCGAATGGTGCGTTGTTTTTGGTATTTATCGCCACAACGTTAAGTTGGCTGCTACACGAATTTCACACATACGTAACGTATCGCGTGCTTACGTCATACATTTGGTTTAACGTAAAGCATCTTATGATACGTTACGACAACTAATTCTATTAACTCAGTTATAAGATAATAGAACAACATTTTGCAGGTAATTCAAACAAGACAAAATTTTTCTTTCCGCAGAAATTGCTTTTAAGACTCTTGTACACATGTGCAAACTTTCCTTACGTACTCTAACTTCAAAAGGTGGCAGCGCTGCTGACATACAAACGTTCAGTATGCCCAACTGCGTCGCAACTGTTGTTCAGAAACACGGCGCCAACTTTAAAAAAAACAGGTGTGATGGAGCACCACAATAATAGTCCACGTCTGGAAACCTTTTGTTAAACAAAAGCAGCTTGATGATGGTTTCTTATAACATATACAAATGAAACGCGAGAAAGCGTTTTGATCTTGTTTAATATTTGTGTTGTTTTTTTTTTCAGAGAAGTTAACCAATGGGACCGATAATAGAACAAACATATTCTTTATAATTGAACTCTTTATATGTATATGTATATATACATATATATGTATGTATGTTTATGAATACATGTGTATAAGCACTTGCTTGACACATTGTTTAATGTTCATTTATGGTTAAACACATTTTTGACACGTTGCCAAGTAATTCGAAGTTGAGCAAATTTATGTGCCGAATGAATTAAAAATTGTGCTTGCCACTATTTATATGTAATGCAAATCAATGTATGTAAATGTAAATATAGATAAAGATATAGATGTAGATATAGATATAGATATAGATATATAGATATAGATATAGATATAGATATAGATATAGATATAGATATAGATATAGATATAGATAAAGATAAAGATATAGATATAGATATAGATATAGATATAGATATAGATATAGATATAGATATAGATATAGATATAGATATAGATATAGATATAGATATAGATATAGATACAGGTTTAAATTTAGATATAGATATATAGATATAGATATAGATGTTATATGCGTATAATTTTATAAAGGTAAATTGAATTATAATGCACTTACGGTGCGCACATTCCGCATTGACTTTGACATCTTCGGATTTTGCTCACACAATTTTGAAATTTAAAATCGCACAAAATTTTCAAACTTAAAATCAAAAAACAAAAATTTACGAGAATTTTCAGTTTTAGTAAAATAGAAACGTATTGCTGTGCTATTGTCAAATAAAATAAGATATGTAAACTAATGAATGTATATGTATATGTATAGGAGTCTGACCTCAACATGCCTGGCATTTTCGAATAGTACTAATCTATCAACTTACACATTTCACATGATCTGAGAAATATTTCCATTAAGTTAAGCAAATTTCCACAGCTGAATGCGATTTGTTATTGTACACCTCATTAAAAAGTTTTCCATTGCCCAGCCGATATGTTTTTGTGAATATATATAAATGATATATATATGTATATATATAATATATATATATATATATATATATATATATATATATATATATATATATATATATATATATATATACATATACAAAAAAATGGTTGCTTCATTAGCTTGAAGATCGCAAACGTCATTTGCAGCTTTTTGCACTTTTTGCAAACTTCAGATAGATAAGAGACAGCGATGGGAATGACGAAAAAGGTGAAGGGGAAGGCATAGAAAGTAGCAGGAAAACAATTGCGCATATTCAGAGCGGACTGCTGTCGATACCGTTAGATGCCAGCTGAAACACCGAACTTAAGTTAAACACACGTAATCGGGGCACCACCAAGTATTACCAATTATTAATTGCAAATTGTTTTTAGAGCTGCAAATAAAAAATAATGCAAAAAAAAAACAGTTGAGGGAACTAATTTATGCGCAGGGCGAATCGACTACTGAATGCTCTACAGAAATGGCTGAGCTGTGAAAGAGATTTCAATTTGTTAGCTTAGGAAGAGACTTAGTAATTGTAAGTTAAGTTGAATAAAATAATGAATAGATAAAGAAAGGAACATTTCAAAGTAGGTATGATATAACGATTTGATATCATTTAATATAATTATATTTTATATAGATAATTATTTATAGATGGTTGTATATAAGTAAACCAAATGCCCATTAGGCAGTTGGCAAAAGTTTTCATACTGCCTGCGTATCGAGAGAGTAAGTGAGAGGGAGTGGAAGCGGAAGAGCGGGAGCGGGAGGGAGAATCAATTATTCAGAATGTGCCAATTCAGTCACGTTTGCCGTTTCAAAATGCAAATAGGCGCTATAAACGCAATACATGCATACATACATGCATACATCTGGACATATACATGTGTGTACATACATATATACAGAAGTATGCATGTGATCAAGTCGGCGGCATTGCGGTAGGGCTTTAGCGTTTTTAATCTTTCCTTCTTTTCATTTTGCTCATTTCTAGCCAACTTTCTTATCTGTCAACTGGCAATTGCATCACAAAATGCAATATTTATTTGCTATAAAATATTTCATAGACATACTCATCATTAGCTCTTACATACATATGTGCAAGACTGCGAGTTACGTGCATTTTTAAATACGTACGTCAAGGCGGAGATGACAAATAATTAAAACAGCTGCGCCCGTTACTCGATCTGTTTAGCTTTTCATATCTGTACATACATACATAGATAGATTCATTCATATGTATACACATAGATACATGCATATGTATGTAGCATAGTTAGTCTCCGTTTAAAGCATCAAATTTATCAAACTCACTTGAAAATTTATACGTACCTGCGTATGTGGCTGGCACTCGGTGGAGCAGTACGTGCGAAAATGGCATGTTCCGTATCAAATTGCAACATGTCGTCTGGTGAAAGAACAAAAATTGAATTTTCTCGTCCAAACTTGTGTGGAAAGTTTTTGCTATTTTTTTATTCCTTTTGTTCGCGTATGTGCGTATAAGTATGCGCCATTATATTTATATGGCTTGCTTGTTAGGCTTGGCATAATTAGCAGGGCGTTGCCAGATGGCTGATTAAGAAACTTTCGTTAAGATTTGCATATGCATTTTGGGTATGCAGACTTTGTTTTTGTTATTTTCAGATCGTAGGCAGATTTGCCAGCTATTGCATACATATGTATGTAAATACATAAATAAAAATGTAAAAATGTTAGTTTTTATGTATGCACATATGCACAAATGTTTGAATGTATGTATGACTAGGGCTTTCCATATGCCTAAGCCTCATAGATAAAACATTAATTCAATGCTGGATACATTTGAGTAAGGGTTTGTCGTGCGTATGTGTATACATCTGTGTGTGTGTGTAATTGAAGGGGTATTCACAACCCAAAAACACACACAAACACACACACACATCGAGTGGAATTTTCCATGCAATTTTTCGTGTAATTGTTCGCAGCTTGTTCAGTTTTTGTTTTGTTCTTGCTTAACCCTTATGTGGACCGCCTAAAGAACATTTCAAAACTTGAAGTAATGCACATTTGTACTTTTTTTTATTTAGTTATTAGTTAGTAGCAGTAATTTGGTATAATGCGAAAATGTAAAAGCATTTCTTGCCCTTAGACCACTCCAAATCAAAGCACATTAGCGTTTTTTGTGCCGCTCTGAATATAGCTATAAACTGTGCAAAGTCTCCATTAGGCGTGTCTAATTGCTGGCCAGAGACCAAAATCAGCCACAGCTAAAGCCCAGCAGCTTATGAGCCTACACATGCTACGATAATCCCAAACTAAAACTGGCGGACCAAAACGACCCCCCGGGCATTGCATTGGTTTAATTGCACTCGATGCTGTTGCTTGCCATTTTTTTTTCAGTTTTTTTTTTGTATTTGCTTTTACTTGCGTTAATGGCATGTGAACGAACGCGACCGACAGACAAAGAGGAAGAAGAAGCAGCAGCGACAATGTCAGCTGTTGAAACTGCGGCGATTTCAATGAATTTACTTTGTTTTCGCCCACTTTGCCCTTTTGTTGTTCTTAATTTTACGTTTATTTTGAGTACTCAACTTAAAACTACACACAAAAAGGTCAATTCTTTTACATACATATTTATGTATGTATGTATTCATGGGTCTATTAAGTATAAGTGCTGCAATAGCCACAGATCTATTAATGACAATTTTAATCTCCAATTTGCGGCTAGGTTCTTAAAGAAAAAAAAAAAACAAAAACAAACAGGTTGTAAACTGGTTTTTAGAGACGGATGCGTTCTCAACTGGGCTGGTGATAAGGTGCCAGCTGGCCTTTAAATTCTCCATTCTCCTAACTGGACGGACGATCGACCACGACGGTCTCCACTGAGCCATCAGCAGCAGTAGTTGCTGCAGCTGTAGTAGTAGCTGGACGCGTTCCATTGCCATTCTGGCCACTTTCATTGTTTGGCCCGCTCTGAATGGGCGGCAGGCCGACGAGTTTTTCGCTCTCGCGCCACAGCCAGTCGGCAGTGTCCATATCCCGACCCCAGGGCACGAGTGGGAACCGCATGCAGTCCGAATAATAGTTGCCCGATGAGCACTCCAGCCCTGGATCCAGCGCCAGACGCAGCGAAGTCTGCGCTCCAGCGCGCGGCGTCTTGAAGAAATACAGCGACAACACCTTCAGCGCATTTTTCGTCCAGTTGGGCCCGGCGAAGTGGCGATTCAGCTCGGTCCTTACCACGCCCGGATGACAGCAGTTGACCGTTACGCCGGTGCCACTCAGCAGCATCGAGAGCTTCCGCGTGAACAGTATGTTGGCCAGCTTCGACTGGCTGTAGGCGCCAAAGAACTTGCTGTACTTACGCTCGCTCATCAAGTCCTCGCGATTAATGCGTCCGAACAGATACGCCGCCGAACTGACCACCACAATGCGACTGGGCGCCGCCTGCTTGAGCCGATCCAGCAGCAGATTAGTGAGCAGAAAGTGGCCCAAGTGGTTGACGCCCAACTGCTGCTCGTAGCCATCGGCGGTCAGAGTACGCGGACAAGCCATGACCCCGGCGTTGTTAATTAACAGGTCGAGGCGCGTCTCCTCTGTTTTGAAGCGCGCCACGAAGTTACGCACGGATTCCAGCGAGCCCAGATCGAGGCTGCGATTGAACAGCTGCTGGTTCTGGGTGCGATCGATGATCTCGATGCGGGCCGCCTCGCAGCGTGCCGGATCCCGGCAGGCCATGTAGATTTTGGCGCCGCGGCGTGCTAACTCCAGCACCGTCTCCTTGCCAATGCCCGTGTTGCAGCCGGTCACGATGACCACCTTGCCATCGATGCGATTCGCCTTACGATAAACCGGTCCTTGGATGCACTTACGCAACAGCCACATGACAAACGCGATACACAGGAAGATCAGCAACAGGAGCACCAACCAGGCCCAGATGCCACGGAAGCACAGCGCCTTCTCGGCCGCCTCGGCGGTTGCGTCGTCGTAAGCAGGCCTCGTTGTCGTGGGCGTGGCAGCCTCCGACATAGCTAGGATACGACTTTAGTTTAGTTGAGTGTGTGTGCTATGTGTGTGCTACGATTGTTGTGACTGGAAACGGTTTGAAAGGATGGTGCGATGTGCCTGCGGGTGAAAAAATCGATTCGATTATCAGGACAGTTATCGACAAATGAGTGAATGATCGATATTTGTTCGAATCTAAGTAGCCTTGTTGCAGTAATCCTTGATTTATCAATGTCAATCAGCAATAAAATATCGATTTTCACCAATATATCGATTAATTATTGTGACTCATCAATCAATCAATTTTTGCATCAAGCAAACTTGAATGAACTATTGAGAGTGTAATATTCATATATATATAATATATTCATATATATATAATATATTGACTTATTTATCGATATCGATACAATAGCATTGATTACTAGTTGGCAATTTAGATGCTTTAGCTCTAGGCATAGCTATCGATTAGGTCTTGTCTAAGTGAATAGCAATTGGTTCAACCTGTAAATAGTTAGGAGAAATAATTTTCTCGTAACACATCTTCTAATCTACACGAAGCTCAATTTGAATCTGAGATTTGCATATCTCAATTCAGCGCTCGCTGTTGTTATCGAGCTGAACAAGCGGCTAGCATGCGCAAGTCTTTCGATAACATGGAAATGCATGTTTATGGCGCGTTTCAAAACAACACTTTCCAAATTGTTTTGTACACTTGATGTGCCAACATACATACCTCTTGCTGACCCTTTTCTTTCTCGTTCTCTGCTTTTGTCGCCGCACTTCCTCACGCGCTAATTTCACACATTTAGTCGACAACAACGGCGAGAGTTGACTTAAGCACTTGACGTATTGATGCCGGCTACTCTTTCTCTTTCTCTCTCTCTCGCTCTCTTTGATCTGCGTGGATCTGTTTGTCGGGATTGTCTTTCTGCGCTGCTCTTGTTACCGTTGCGTCCAAGCGTCTCGCGCGGTCTTAGCCAACTGAAACAAACAGCGGCTCCCGATTGCTTTGGCTCCAACAACTTGATCGCTAACACGTCAAAATAACCTGAATATAATTTTAAGCGGCGTCGCTGTCGACTTTACTAGCGTCTGTTATTAACATAACTTTATGCATGTGCATGCGTCGCAGTCGACGTTGCCGTCGTGGTCGTCGTCGTCGTCGTCGTCATCCCCGTCGCAGTCCAGACGAACATAACCATAGAAGCCGCAACGGCTTCGCCTCTGCCTGCTATTCCCATTACAGTTGTCGTTGTTGGTGTTGTTGTTGTTTCTGGCATTAATTTCTTTTCTTGCTGCCTCTCTTGGAATTATGCTTTCGACTTTCACTTAAAACTACTTTTTTCTTCGCATCGCTGCCAGCGTTGCGACAGCGCTGCCGTTGAATAACTTTACTTGCATTCCGTTTTATTTGGCTGTTCGTGTTCTGCGGCTTCTTCGCCTTGTTTGTTTTGATTGTTGCCGTCGCAGTCGCCGTTGACGTTGCTGCCGCTGCGGCTCTCTTGAATTGTCACTCTCTCTCGCCTGATTTCCAGTCGTTGAGCAGGGCTTGGAATCGCCTAAATTGGGCTTCAAGCTCAGGCATTCGGTTAGGCGGACTTTGAAATGCTCTACACTGGTTCAATACGCGTTTCTTTTTAATCAACAAAAAAGAAGAAGAAATGTTTTACTTTACAGACTAACAAAAAAATTGGGATTTTCGCATTCGCTAGACGCTTTAAACTCCTTTACTCAACGAGTTCGATTGAGACAGTTTTTACAGAGTGTGCCGAGCTGGATATGCCCACAAGCCGTTCGCTCTCTTGCCACAGCCACTCGGCAGTCTCGACATCCCTAGCCCACGGTACCAGCGGACAAAGGAAAGAATCGGCGTACAGGCCGCCAGTACGGTCGACCAATGTTGGATCCAGGGCCAAGTAAAGTTGCGTCTGAGCGCCGGCTTTGGTTGACTTGAAGAAATACCGGGAAAGAATGCTGATAGTGGCCAGAAACCAGGAGGGAGCCACGAAATGACGATTCAGATCGGACCGGACCAAGCCCGGATGGCAGCAGTTGACCGTAACCCCAGAGCCCGTCAGCAGCATCGAAAGCTTCCGAGTGAAGAGCACGTTGGCCAGCTTGGATTGCGTGTAGGCGCCTAGTAGCTTTCTGTATTTTTGTTCACTCATCAGATCCTCGCGATTAATGCGCCCAAAGAGATGGGCCACCGAGCTGACCACAACAATGCGACTGGGCGCCGCCCGCTTGAGCCGATCCAGCAGCAGATTAGTGAGCAGAAAGTGGCCCAAGTGATTGACCCCCAACTGCATCTCGAAGCCATCTGCGGTTAAAGCTCGGGGACAGGCCATGACTCCGGCATTGTTGATCAGCAGATCGAGCTGTGTCTCCTCGTCCTTGAAGCGTGCCACAAACTGACGCACAGACTCCAGCGACGCTAGATCCAGTACGCAATTGATCAGCTGTTTGTTCTGCGTGCGTTCCATTATCTCGATGCGTGCCGCCTCGCAGAGAACGGGATTCCTGCAGGCCATGTAGATCTTGGCGCCGCGGCGTGCCAGCTCCAGCACCGTCTCCTTGCCAATGCCCGTGTTGCAGCCGGTCACGATGACCACCTTGCCATCGATGCGGTTAGCCTTGCGATAAGCCGGACCCTGGATACACCGACGGACTAGCCATAAAACGAGACATACGCAGAGCGCAACCAGCAGGATGAGCACAAGTCGCAGCCAGATGCCTCGAATACATAACTGTTGCCCTATGGAGTTCCCAATGGACGTCTCAACTGTACTGTTCATTGTGGACGTGGTGGGCGCTCTGACACCACTTTGAATTTGTACACCGAATACTAGGATTCAATATGCATTTTAATCTCAATAAAATTCTTGAATAGCTTATTTATTTATTTGCGGCTATCGCTCTTGATAGCCACTCCAGAAGCGCTCCTTTCTCAACTTGAACTGAAAGGGACTCTCCCTTGGGGCCAAACACAAAGACCCTCAGCTGGAAGCATAACAGCTGGCAAGGGTTTCACACGGATTGCGTGCCATCAGCTATGCAGTAGTAGTTTTTTAATCTACGTAGATTATAATCACTTTAGCTGAACGGGAACTAAGTACAGTCCATTAGTTGGGCGGGCCAACCAAGAGCCTTCAATGTCAACATCGTTCCTGGCAGGAGCGGAGCTGCTACAAAAAATATATAGTTGACAAGCTGCCTAAGATAACGAGTAAGGCTTGCTGTGTATTGCCAACAGGAGATAAGCCGATTAAGAGGAAAACTCGTACAGTACAGCAGACCAGCAGAGCAGCAGGATAATGGCTGCGAGGACTTCAACTGTGGACATAAGCTCGCAAATAATCAGTTAAAATCCGTTAAAAAATCACTGACCTTATGGAATTAATGAGTAATATTCCGAAATGTATTTTAATACTATCTTATTTTTAGTCCTCGCCATCATTAACATAAAATTCTCAGGGCTCGGACCCTGACCCAAAAGTAAATATTCTTCAACAGGGAAATCCGTTGAAGGACAAAATCAATAAAAACAACGCAGTTGAATATCCTTGAACACAAAAGCTGGACACGGCTCCAACCACAGAAGGTGGTACGGGCGGCAGGACGAAAGATAACTTGTCATCTTTGCCGGCACAGACACGGAGCCCACCACAATGTCTGTTGTTGTTGACGCCGCTGCGGCTGACGTGAGTTTTGGCATGTAAACCACACTCCTGCAGAGAGCGACGGAGGCATGCAGAGAGGGAGGGAACGAAAAGAGAAGTAGGGAGATTGAGAGAGAGAGAGAGAGAGAGAGAGTTGCGCATGGGGCGAAACTTTGACTAGGTCAGGATAACAAGGCGTTGTTAAATCGATGGGCATATCAAGAAAGCAACCCCTCTAGAGCTTAATAGTAGTGCCTATAGCTGGGTTTTTTTGTCCTCACCCTACGACCCAGTTTTTTTCTGTGTCAAATAGGAGTTTTGGGAATTTTCCGTTACACAAATAGCGCCATTAAACATATCGATAAGTTCGCTGCAATCGATCGAATAGCAAAAGCTAGAAGAAACTAGTTCAAATAGCTGCAATATAGCGCTATATTAAATATATTAACTATAATATATCTAATAGTAACATTTAGAATTTTGACTGATTATTCGAGGAGTTGGTGCCACTGTGCGTTGTTCACAGTTCCACAGGCGTTCAACGCGGTGCTTAATGCGCTCCGTGATCCTGCATATCTTTTTTCGTACTCTTTGCTATTTGCGATGCACTTAAGTGCGCTTACTGACTTAGTCCGTTATTGCTGGCTAATTTGTTTATTCCGAGTGGCGGCTGAGTGTATGGCAAGATGGCGACGCTTACTGCGGATGAGTGTTTACCGTTAGCTGAACATCAAAACATGCCAACTCCCACAGTTCCCCCAATACATCCTTTTCGTATTCAGCGCGTCCCGCACGTGCCTATCCCTGTCTCAGTGGCATTTGTGACGTCAAAGCAATGTGAAAACGTAAGAACTAAAGACATAACGTAAACAGATATAACAGATGAACACTCACACACACACACATACATACATACATACACAGCCTCGTGTTTGTTTTGCTCTTCTGCTTTTGGCAACAGGCATTTTGAGACGCTGGCGCTTTGCCTTGATCTTTAGCCGATCTGTAAACAACAAGATAAAGATGCCAAAACGTGGGAGACGAAAACAAAGCAATCAATGGAGGCAACTGTACATTGGAATTGGCGTGCTCCAAGTGAAATCTCTAATATTTTCTTCACTTTTATTATTTGCTTGGTTTCGTTAAATTACAACGTGCAATTAGATAATCGTTGAAACGAACGCATATATATATATATGCATGCTCACACACACATACATACATAAGCACATCAAATGGAAGGCAGCAAAAAGTTGAGTGAAAAGCGTTGATTGTGAGACGTCGCCAATTATTACACATGCAAAGCATAAGTGTATGCAGCCCAGAGGTAAACAACAAAGAGAGAGAGAAAGAGCGAATGAGTAGGAGAGCGCGGGGAGAGTGTG